CTGCATCTGACAGGCTGAGTGTTGGGCGGAGTTTGGCGATGTTCTTGAGGTGGTAGAATGTTGACTTACAGAAGTGTTTGATGTGGGTGTCAAAGGTGAGTTGAGGGTCCATTTTAACACCCAAATTGGTGACAGATGTGGAAAGGGGGATGTTTTGGTGATGGTAGAAGAGCGGAGATGGTGTGGTGTGCCAACTAAGAACCTAGAGGAGGAGCGGAGGAAGGCGAGAGCGGTGGAGCTAGGTTCCCAGGGAGCCTGGACAAGGTGGGAACTCCTGAAGAGGAAGCTAACATGGGCAGACCTATGGAGACTCGAGCCATTCCGGAACTCCTTCTTGCTGAGGCCCGTCTACAACACCCTACCAAATCCTGTGAACCTGCACAGATGGGGCATGAGAGATTGACTCAATGTGCAAGCTCTGCGGGACAAATGGGACCATGGCACATATCCTGTCAGGGTGCAAGATCGCTCTGTCCCAAGGCAGATACAGGTGGTGCCATGACAAAGTGTTAGCCATGTTCATAGACTTTCTAGAGCAGGCAAGAACCCAGAAACGGCAACCCATGGGTAGGCCACCACCTGCCATCACAGGAGGGAGCAAAGCCACTAACACCAGGGCAAGTTTCCTGCAGTCAGCCCAAGTGCGGGAGCTAAGGGTAGACCTGAAGAGAACGCTCCAGTTCCCAGATGTCATCCACACAACCTTATGACCAGATGCAGTCCTGTTCTCCACTGAAGGGAAAAAGAGCATCCTTGTGGAGCTCACTTTGCCATGGGAGGGGGTGTGTGAAAAGGCATTTGAGAGGAAATCCGAGCGCTTTAGAGATCTGGTGTAGGACTGCAGGGACAAAGGATGGCAGACATGGCTGTACCCGATTGAGGTAGGGTGCAGAGGCTTCCCAGCAGCAGGAGGGTGTTATGGTTAAGGGTTGAAACACCCAGTTAGTGCTGGTAACCATCTGACGACACAACCTCCTGGCTAAAGGCTGCAGTCATTATGTAATGACAAAGAAGTGAAGCATCACAAGATGCACGTAGACGCTTTCTGGAATACCCCCCTAGTCCAATCAATATTTACCCAGCTAACAATTTTTCATTCTAGGAATACAGACGCTCCTCTACTTATTACCTTTCAACTTACGAACTTTCAGACATACGAACGAAGAGGACTGTAAGTCCAAATTGTCTTCCTTGGGCTCCCGTTTCCTGTCCGCAACATCAATTTTTTTTTCTGCACACCAATTCCACCTACTACGACTTTTGGCCACTACTCCCGCCACGCAGCAGCATAGCATGTATACTCCCAGCATCCCAGTTCTTTGTACTTGCGTATATCCTTAAAATGATGTAGAATAATGACTCACAAACATTTCAAGTTAAGAACGGCCATTCGGAACGTAACTCATTCAGAAGTAGAGGAGCATCTGTATTTACCAAACATTACAATTAAGCTGTGGAAATGTTCAAAATGTCCAGTTTTCCTGTTGTTCCTCAAACATTAGCTCACTACTATAAGAACTACTAAAAGTAATAATACGAGCTTGAATGATGAGCTTGGTAGAGCAGTTGGTAACACTGCTGTTTGCATTTACACATACCACACTTCAACAAAAAAATAATTTTATTATAAAGTTATTGTTCAACATTAATTGTGCAAAAAAATGTTCACATAATGATGTTACCATGCTAACATTGACAGAACCTTTGTTAAAATGTTTAATGTTATAGTAAGAACGTTCACTGCCAATTTTGAGAAGACCTTAAATAACGTTTGCTGAAGTTTTGGGAACATTCCCTGTTAGTTGGATATTTACCTTTATTGTTTTACATTCTTCATTTTAGTTTGTTAAGTCCATCTTAGATGAATGTAAACTTAAACATTTTATCCAACATTATATTTTAATTTTTTAAGCAATTTTAAAGCAAGCTCCTTTAGCAAAGACTATTGAAAACAAAAAAACATTACCCAAGCTTTAGCTGACAATTTACATGTACATGTACAGATCCCACATGTTAGTTTAGTGGTTCTGTATTTTGTACACAGCAAAGACACACATGCTTTTTGCATAAAATGTGTTTGTTGGAAACAGTGGGGGCCTGCTGATTACCCATGTTTGAAAGAGAGAAGCATAATGTGATGTAAATATCTTGTCAGCTCTGCATCTGTTCAGTATTTTTTTGACTAAGCAAATGGCAGCACTGAAACCACCAGCCTCAAGAGGTTCTTATGATGGGCAGAGTCATGCTCTCTGTCTCTGCATCAAACCACTCAGTATTCAGAAACACTGAACTGTTAACTCTCCATTGGCCAAAGTGCCCAAGTATGCCTGTGACTCTGCAATGGACTAAAAATGCCATGTCTGCCATTTGATGCCTCCAGAGATGCCATGAACCTGAAATGGCTAAACTCTTATGGAAGATGGATGGATTACTTATATCCGTGCATCGAGGTTGTTTCACCCTCTTTAGAAAGGAATAATGGCTGAATATTAAGTTTGAAAAAGGCAGTAATCACGTTTGAGTGTAGATTTGCCAGCAATGAAATTTGTAAGTGTTTGAAAGGAACCACAATGTGTTAACAAGTGACCTTAGGAGTGCATTATCTATTCTTATTTTCAGATTCGCTCTGACCAGGACCGCGATACTCAGATCCGGTACAGCATCACAGGCGTGGGTGCAGACCAACCTCCCAACGAGGTTTACAGCATAGACCCTGTGGCAGGAAAAATGTTTGTGACCCGGCCACTAGACCGAGAGGAGCGCTCCTCTTATCACGTAAGTCCCCCATGTTTGTTTGTAACAGCTCACTCTTTTACTAGGATGTGCACTTCACTTAAACCCAATGATACATTTATTGTGGAATTTCATTGTGGATGTTTGGGTTTTTGGAAAAATGTCATGGATTTTCATCAACCTCCTTCTGAAACATGTTTGTATGCAACAAATGTAGGGCTACATAAATGTATGGCAGATTAAAAAAGATGCAGGGGATATAATTTTTCTCAATTTTTCTTGAAAAAGCTGAGTAACTAAATATTAAACTAGAACAAGGCATTGCTCTGTTACAGTCATTAATATCATGACCAAATGCACTGAACAATGGAGACAATTAAATTCAGAAGCATTTATGATGGGTTTTTGAATTAAATATGTCATCTGCCAGCCTAATTTTTTGCAGGAATCTATCGTTTTGTGTGATTTGAGCCACTATGAATTAGAAGCAAAGTTGCGGATGCAAATATGCAAAAACATTACATTGTTGAGCAGTTGTCATGTTTTTTTTAATGATGCTGTTTTGTTTTACTTATTTTATTTTTGTTAAAGTTATGGTATGAAGTTTGGTATGGCATTAACTGCCAACAATAAACTGCAGTGAGTGTTTGTAGTTTGTCAGAATAATGAAAAAATATTGGAAAGGTTCTCTCTGAGGAAAACATAGAATTTTTGCTTCTGAAACAGTGCTCTTTCTTCTCTTTATGGAAGGCACTTATTCTGTGCCTGCCTGCCCCTGGAAGTACTCTGTTCAGGGAACTGATGTTGCCATTAATACTAATTACATTGACTTATTTAGCAGAAACTTTTTTCCAAAGTGATGTGCAATTGAAAAAGGGGGGTCAGCCAATCCCTCCACCATGCACAGGATTAGAACCGACAACCATCTGTTCATGTGCACAGTATCATAACCCGTTGAGCCACAGACCTCCCCCAATTTACTGATTAATTTGCCATTTTTTTTTATTATTAAATTTAATTATTATCAACTAAGCTCAGGCTTTATACTGGCATTCTGTACATCCCCTGCATACAGTTACTTGATTACATATTTATTAGACTAAATATGTATTTTTTTCTATATATTTTCATTACCTTTAGTATCACCCTTTTTATATTTTCTTTAATTTGTGAAACCTTATTGAACATTTAGAAATGATATCATTGCACTGCTTTTTTGTTGCCATCAGGCCCATGAGAGAAAGTTCCACAGATGCATAGACAGATGTTGAACTTGTGGAACTGTTCTATCAGACAGGCATTTTCATGGAAGCGGAGGTATTTGGGAAGAATAACTACTTGCCCAGTGTCTTCCTGTTGTGAACTGCTGCACATTTTGATTCTAAATATAGCTGTACTGTACTTTTATTGTGTTAGATTCTGGTGCCCTTTAGAAATAAACCCGTTAGAGATTCATACTCACTGAATAGACCCAGAATCTGAATCAAATTTAAAATCTCAAAGTACTTTGCACATAGAATTTTCCTTGGTTTATTTGTTCTTGCTCAGCATTAAAACAATATGAGTTTTGTGCTGCAATGGTCATGATGTTTTCTTCCCATTACAGTATTTTGAAGATGGCTGCCCCTAGGAATTTCAGTAGACCACCCTGATGATTGTATCATTGACTTATAAAGAGCACATTTTTGGCCAGTGTTAGGTCAATTGAGTTGCCATTTCCACTGTATGCTTCCATTGAAAGGGGGGAGACTAACTAAACATACTCCCCTCAATTAATCAGGAAGTTACAGACCCAATGAAATATTGTCCAATATATTGTATTTTCATTTGGAAGAGATTGGGAGAGTTCCATGCATTGAGGTTGTTTCACCCTTGTTAGAAACTGAATAATAATTGAATATTAAGATATCACTGTAGCTACTGTAGTTCTTCTGTATGAATAGCTTGAAACTGCCTGTTCTATAGCAAGGCAAGAAAGGAAGGATCAAGAGCTTGAGGAGAACCTAAGAAGGTGTGAAGGCAGGGTTGTCAAACTCAGTCACTAAAAGGGCCATATTAAAAACCACCAATGACTTCGCAGGCCGACCAAAGCTTATTTATTTAGCTAATACCCAAACTTTGCAGATATTTGGTTAAAATCTTTACTATACGTATAACATTTACAAACGTGAACTTTATAGTGGACCATCCTGAAAATTAGTTTTGAATAAAACTGAACAATAATATGCAAAAACCATTTTATAGAATTAAATCAAATGCGTCCACTGGGCTGATGAACAATTATTCATCTACTTTTATTTGACATTGTATACTCTTAAATGAGAAATGGGCTGAGTTCAGCCCCAATAAGTTGAAACAATCAGATTACAACTGTAATGTTTTGCAGTATTTTATGCTAACTCTCTTCTTTGGAGCTTGTCAGTGAGGAAAGGAGTAGGGAAAGGAAAGCGTAGTGCAGGTTCACACAGGATAATCCCTACGTCCCGGGTAGCCGTAGCGGTACACACATTCATCATGTGCTGTTCTGTTATATTATTTTTGGATTGGTCTGCACAATGAACACAATGAAATGAACACATTTCTTGACATGGGCGAAAGATTATGAAAACAGAAAACATTATGCTCATTGTGTCTGCAAGTTGGTTACAGCTAATGCTGGTTAAAGTCAGTCATAATTGGTAGTTTGACAATATTTTGGTTGCCCAATAAATTACACCAGTACTGGAGAGAGGCCGGTTGATAAGACCAACACTGCCTGTAGGCTTTGTTATACCGACTTTGGACATGTTGCTGACTTTGGACCATGGAAACACTTCCAACATGATGTCTTGTTTGAGATGACATGATCGGAGTGTGTGTGCGAATAGAGCAAGGCAGAAACAGCCTTTGCAAGTTGGTCTCCTTGTGCCATTTAAAGTGGTCTTTGCCAGGAAATTCAGAACTGGACTATTGGTGTGTTTGTCGCTTTGGGTATTTGACAATTCTCAGTAGTACAGTACATGGGATTGAGACAGGATTTAGTTCATGATTGTTATGGTGCAGTCTTATTTTGAATTTTAATTTTTCTTCACATATGTATTTTTACAATGTGCAAGTAAGCATCGCTAGTTTTGTCTGTTCAGACGCAACGACATCAGACACATTGTCTTTGGTTGACAATTATTCCACATTGTGTTTGCTTTTGCAGTGTGCAGGCCTCTTCCTTCCTTCATTAGTCGTGGTAGGTCATTGTTGCACTTAGAACTTCTGGTAGGAATTCAGGCCTCAGAGAAACTAACGTAAAACTGGCAATGTCCTTGTGAAGTCATTCAATGTCAGCATATGGACCGTTGACAATATGCCAGTCTGCTGAATCAGCACAGTTTAGGAGCTCTGTCTGGTCAGCTTCACTGAGGAAATAAGGGCACAGGTGTTTAATCATGTTTCATTATTCCAAAATCCCAAAGTAAGAAAGTGGTGTTTCATTCTCTTAAGCAATAATTGGACTTCATTCTATTGCAAAATGAACAAACATTGGAGAGAAATATACCAGTAAATAATCCTTGGAACCCTTATAATGTGTACAAAGGGCCTACATGCTAACCTTGCACAGCTTTATCTGGCTGGCTCTTCCATAATCATTCATGCAAATGTGATATTTGTAATAGAAAAACGTTCTACCTTTGTATAATTTTACATTTGTTTAATTTTATCTCCTTTTGCAAATGTAAAGATTATATTAAAGCCTGAATGCTAAGCATAGGCTCATTTCTTTGAGAATGGTTTAGGCTGACTGGTGTTTTCTGGCTTTAGATGGTATATTAATATAATGCATGTATGTTCTTGATTTTTAAAAATATATTTAATGGGGTGTTTCGCGACTTTCACTCTCCTGGTGTGCTGCTCACAATGTACGTATTTGTAAGGCATGGCTGTGGCCAATAACAGCCATTATTAAAGGGTTAAAAGAAAATTATGTTTTCATTTCACAGTGATGGGTACAGGATGTCTCACTGAACACATAACAGATCAAAGTAAGATGGCAGTAAAATTATAAAAAATCTGGAGGTATATATTTTGTCATTAACTTTATTTTTAGCAGATGTCCATTATATCACTATGAAATTAATGTGTGTAATTAATGTGTTTTGTGTGTACAATATACAGTACAGTTTGAGAAAATACATTTTGTAAATATAATGGGATGAAAACATGACAATCATTGGTTGTGTCTGGTGCAGCATTACGCTACAGCAGACATTACCAAACACATATATAACACTGGTCCACAAATTTTTACTTTTTTTATGTCACAGAAATCAAAACATGAGAATTTTACAGAATATCTTGTGCTGAATTCAAATATCTAATCAGAATTTCCCTGTCATGCAAGGATTTTGATTGACACACAATTAAACTTTACTCTGTATGTATATTTACAGTTTTATGTATATTTACATGTCCGTTATTGTTTACATTTCTATAGTCCCAACACCATATCCCTGCTTATTAACTGGTACCTATATATAACATGTCAGGGGCAGCATCTGGCTCAGTGGGCTAAGTGTCTGTGATCAGAAGGTTGCAGGATTGAGCCCAGTCTCAGTACAGCTGTGGGTCTTTGAGTAAGGTCCTTAACCCCCAGCTCACTGGGTGTTGCTATAGGTGGCTGTCCTTCCCAGCCAGCTTGTTCTCACCTACAATAAGCAAGTTGGAGGAGGCATTAAGAGAATTTTCCATGAGAATCAAGTATCTATTATTATTCACATGTATTTCATTTTTCCAATAACCCAGGAACAGAGCCCCACACCATCCATTTTATAATATGCTTAGGAGTGCAGTTTGACTTCTCTGCTAAAATGGCAATTCACCCTGAGGGATGTGCTAATAAATAGATTTTCAAATTCCTCATGTCACTTTCTGTTTAGTGAGACACCAAGACCTTCCTTCTCCATTTAATTTTTAGATCCTTTACCAATTTCATTGGTCCAGCATACCCATTATCTGATGCACCTCCTATCCTCATCAGCACTTATGTGAGGTCCATTATACAAGGACTGCTT